AGTTCAAGACCAGCTGAGCAAGAGCGAGACCCTGTCTCTACTAAAAATAGAAAGAAATTAGCTGGACAACTAAAAATATATAGAAAAAATTACCCGGGCGTGGTGGCACATACCTGTAGTCCCAGCTACTTGGGAGGCTGAGGCAGGAGGATCACTTGAGCCCAGGAGTTTGAGGTAGATGTGAGCTAGGCTGACGGCACGGCACTCTAGCCCGGGCAACAGAGTGACACTCTGTCTCAAAAAAAAAAAATTTAAAACAATCATTGAGCTGTATACTTAAAACAGACAAATTTTGTTATATAAAGTATACCTCAGTAAAGCTGTTAAAAAAGATAATTTCATACAAATGTACACAATGGACTTTAGACCAAGATGTTGAAAAAGCTGTTAGCTTTGTGTAGCTCTTGTTTCTTTGCAAACCTGGCTCAGGGTACTCCAGCTATATTATTGTTTCCTACCTCCCCTTCTCTCGAGGCTGACAAGAACTAATCAATTTAAACTGTGTTAATCAGGGTCTTATTTTTGGCATATCCAATCTCTAAATACTTAAAATGACTGGGGAAGCTTTGGGCATAGTAAGTAGTCTAATCCTTTTAGTTCCTCCAGTGGTTACATTAGAAGTCACTATATAGTAAGAACTAGCAAGGATTATGCATCTTTGGAGGACAAACTCTGTAAGCAGGTATCTCACTTCCCAGCAACTTCTATGGCATCTATTCTTTAGCAGTCTCCTTTCCTCAAAGACAGGCTGGAAAATAGAAGAAACCTGAAAGGAACAGAATGGTAGAAGGCCATCAACAGTTATCTCAGAGACTCTTTGCTTTGGAAACTGTCTACTCATGTAGGAAATGTTCCTAATAGGAACCATTCTGACCAAGAACAGTTAAGTTATTTACACAGTTCCTCTGCATCAGTACTTGCACTCCATGAACTAAAGCATAGCTCAGAACCTGGTTTCATGCTGTGTTCCCCTTATCTGGGCCCTCTTAGCAATAGCATTTAGATTTGTGTTAGGGTTTCATACCAGCCATTGGTTGGATGCCATTAAAGAAATATTTTATTTTGTCAGTATCACTGCAGATCTACTACCCTTAGTTTAGTAATGCAAAACTACACATGATCTTTATTTGAAAAGTCTTGGGCTAATCTCTGGAGAATTTTCATAGGCAAATTCTTCTGTGTGCGCTGGATCAGTAAACACTCCAATAAAATCAATTTCCAAGAAGAATGGACCATCCACTTTATCGGCCAAGGTAAATCCTATGGAAGAGATCTAAATTTAAAATAAGAGAAATTCATTAAAATCTCATACACTGATATACTGATGTTATTCCTGGACTTTTAAAATCCCATGAGGTGATTACAAAAACTGTGTCTTTATGCTATTAGCCCTTAGCAAATATACAGTAGTTCTCATATGCTGTAGCAAATTATAAGAGGAAGTACAAGACTGCTTTTCTTTTCACATTCTACTTCCTGTCCACCCCTTCAAGTGGTGCCACTTATGACCAGTAGGGACAACATGGATGCCTAATGGAGGTTCCTTGAAGCTCTCCTGAACTCTTATTTTAAAGCTAAAATAAAATGTAAGCATGCTAAAAAAAAATGGTCATATGAAAATCCTCCAAGATGGGGGGTTTAGCTCACAAGATAGGTCTGAGTCAGCATGTCTTGGTATAACAGCAGTGGCCAGTGGCTCTGAGTAGGATTTTCATTTTTCTTTCCTTTTCCTTTTTTTTTTTTTTGAGACAGGGTCTCACTCTGTTGCCTGGGCTAGAGTGCAGTGGTGTCATCATAGCTCAATGCAACCTCAAACTCCTGGGCTCAAGCAATCCTTCTGGCTCAGCTAGCTTCCTGAGTAGCTGAGACTACAAGTGCGCACCACCACACCTGGCTAATTTTCCTTTCTTTCTTTTTTTTGTTTTTTGGAGAGATGGGGTCTCTCGCTTTGTTGCCCAGGCTAGAGTGAGTGCCATGGCGTCAGCCTAGCTCACAGCAACCTCAAACTCCTGGGCTCAAGCAATCCTTCTGGCTCAGCTAGCTTCCTGAGTAGCTGAGACTACAAGTGCGCACCACCACACCTGGCTAATTTTCCTTTCTTTCTTTTTTTTGTTTTTTGGAGAGATGGGGTCTCTCGCTTTGTTGCCCAGGCTAATCTCAATCTCCTGGCCTAAAGCGATCTACCCACCTCAGCCTCCCCAAGTGCTAGGATTATAGGCATAAGCCATCGTACCCAGCCAGAATTTTCATTTTTCATCTGTTAGCCTTCCAGCATAGACTCAGACTCATAGGAGTTCTGTTTCACTAAAGATGATACTGTTCTGAGTGAGAAGTACAGGAAAATGTTACCTTGTCAAGCAGAAGCTGAGACTGAACATCCCGGATTCTTCCTTGATTGGAGAAGAAAAATTTGGAAAAAGGAATCTGAAAAAAGAAACCATTTACTTCATAGCTGAAATGTAAGTAATACAATGATAAAAGAATAGTCATTTAAATTTAATTCTAAAATTATTTAATATATGCAGCATTGTTTTTTTTGTTTGTTTGTGTTTTAGAGACAGGGTCTCACACTGGTGCCTAGGCTGGAGTGCAATGGTGCAATCATAGCTCACTGCATCCTTGAACTCCTGGGCTCCTCCTGCCTCAGCCTCCCAAGTAGTTAAGACTACAGGCACATGTCACCACATCCAGCTAATTTTATTTTTCTTGTAGAGATGGGGGCTTGCTATGTTGCCCAGCCTGGTCTTGAACTCCTGGTCTCAAGCAATCCTCCTGCCTCAGCCTCCCAAAGTGCTGGAATTACAGGCATGAGCCACCATTCTGGTCAATATCTGCAGTTATAACAGGCTACCACTTGGATCAAAGATAAAACTAAGAGAGCAAAAGACAAAGGGTAAACTAGGGAAAAAAATATTTGTAATATTTATGGTCAAGAGACTAGTATCCTAAACAGACCTTTTACAAATAACTAAAAAGCCAGGGCACGATGCTGCCTGCCTGTAATCCCAGCTACTTGAGAGGGCTTGAGTCCAGGAGTTTGAGTCTTGCCTGGGCAACATAGCAAGACCCTGACTCTAAAATAAAAAAATCAAACAACTAAGAAAAAGATTAAACAACCAAATAGAAAAATGGGGATGGTGAGAAACAAGCACACATATATACTGTTAGTAGGAGTGTAAATTAGCACAACTCTTTTAGAGGGCAGCTGACAATTGTGGGAGGTAGAATTCTAAGATTGCCCCCAAGACTTCCACCCCAGGTAAATATACATCTACTTCCAGGTATTCAATCAAACACTAATCTCAGTGGTGCTGTGAAGGGACTGTGCCAATGTAATTAAGATTCCAAATTAGTTGACCTTAAAAATAAAGGGAGATTATCTTCTGTAGGCCTGACAATCACTTGAGCCCATAAAAGGGACTAGTGAAAGAGATTTCATGAGACGGATTCAATGGGAAGGAAATTCTCCATTGTTGGCTTTGAAGATGGAGGGATGTACATAATAAGGAATGCAGGCAGCTTCTAGGAACTGAGAGTAGCCACTGGTTGACAGCCAGCAAGGAAGCAAAGACTCACACAAAGTTCTACAATCATAAGAAACTGAATTTGGCTGACAACCAGCATGAGCTGGGAAGTGGATTCTTCCCCAGAAACTCCAGAAAAGAATGCAGCCCAGCTGACTCCTTGATTTCAGCCTTATAAGCACCTGAGCATGGAACTCAGTCACACTGTGTCCCAACTTACAACCTCCAGATCTGTGAACTAACAAATGTTGTTTTAAGCTGCTGAATTTGTGGCAATTTGTTACGTAGCAATAGAAAACTAATACAGCAATATCTAGGAAAATTTGAAATGCCATACCAATTTCACGTTTAGGAATTTATGTTACAAATAATCTCTGAAAAATACATAAAGATACAGCTTTTTCTAATAGTAAAAAATGTCAAATGAAAAAATAAGGTAACAGATAAATTATGGTACATCTGTACAACTGAATATGCAGCTATTTTTAAAATGAAGTAGGATGAAATAGGATACAGGATGCAAAGAGAAAATCTCTGTGATATATTATTAGTAAAAAAATAAGATATAGGCTGCACGTGGTGGCTCACGCCTGTAATCCCAACACTTTGGGAGGTCAAGGCGGGAGGATCACTTGAGGCCAGGAGTTCAAGACCAGGCTGGACAACATAGCAAGACCTTGTCACTATAAAAAATAAAAAAATAATTTGAAAATTAGCCAGCATGGTGACTCACGCCTGTAGTCCCAGCTACTTGGGAGACTAAGGCAGGAACATCACTTGAGCCCAGGAGTTTGAGGTTGCAGTGAGCTAGGATCATGCCACTGCACTCCAGCCTGAGTGACACAGCGAGACAGTATAAGCTCATTTAGGTTTTTTTTAAAAAAGGCCTAAAAAACTGTAAATAAATACTGAAGTCTAATGGTATGCATGCTAAAATGTTTAGAGATGAAATGTACTGATGTCAGCAACTTCCTTTAAGATGAATCAAAAAAAAAAAAAAAAA